ATGGCTGATCGCCTCTCTGAAGGACGTCTACGTTCCAACCCCCCGCCATGTGCCAGATGGCGTCGTCGCCAGCCAGGTCGGACGGTGAAGGCACATCAATTTCCTCCGTGGTAGTTTCTCCTGGTTCCGCTGGGTTGCGTGGGATTCCCCCCGCCGTTTCCCTTGCTTGTGGTTCTGGGTTGTTCCTCCTGGGTGTAGTCTCATCGTCCAGAGATATCTCTTCCGAAGCCTCCTCCTCCCCAGCCATAAACTTTGGGTCAGCCCCGGAGTTGTCAGAAACCTCTGGTCCCTCATTCGTCTGTGGAAGCTCTCTCTCAGGCCTGGCGTGACGTTCCCGCCAGGGACCAGTCCTCACAGGGATCTCAGATCTGGGTGCTTGGTTGCGCCCTCCCCTTCCGCCTCTCAGGCCCCCACACAAATTCCCGCGTTGCCCCCGTCCAGCAGCGCCTGCCGTTTCCGCCGCGCCGTTGCCACCGCGGCCTGCTGGCATCCACGGTGTGCGGCCACTCCGTGGCGGTCCCCAGGTTATCGCTCCAAGCCTTGCCGAACGCCTGGCGCCTACAGTCGCCGCCGCCACGTTCGTGCCGGCCACCGCTGTTATCACTGCCGCTGCTGGCGCCCCACTGTTACCACTCTCTCTCTCTCTCTCTCTCTCTCTCTCTCTCTCTCTCTCTCTCTCTCTCTCTCTCTCTCTCTCTCTCTCTCTCTCTCTCTCTCTCAAGCAGTCCTTCATTGATATGCTTATACGGTACAGGCAAGGCAAGGGTACGTTCCAGCAAGTGGTCTATCCTGGGGGCACACACACACAACCAAGCAAGACATCACAGAGAACATGCAACCAGGCACCTAAACAGGCAACTAAACAGGCCAGCAAGCAGACCAGGGCTAGCAAAAACTACCAAGGTAGGTCCAGCGGCACGGTCCTCCCACTATATGACCTATGTTTGGCCAACCCATCCCTTAGTCCGCCACTGCTGCCCCGTGTCTCTCTACTTCTCCCCTTTACCTTCCCCCCCCTTCGCTCATCCCCTGAGGCAGCCCAGCCACAGTCACTTCTCCCTGTCACTCCTCTACCCCCGCAGGTGCCATCAGTTCAACTCTCCAGTCTTCTACCATCCGCCCCGGTCATCTTCCAGCACCTGCCACAGGTCTCCCAGGCTCGGCTCCCATGGGTCCCTGGCGGTCTGTGAGAAGGCTCCATCGTCTCCCAGGTTTGACTTGTTCAAGAACGAAGTCGCCTGGGAGCGTTGCAGCATCACACAAAAGCGCTGTCTGTAGTGGGCAGTCAGCCTAGCAGTGGTGGTGGTCAGCTTCCCCTGGCGAAACTTCCTCTTGGCGGCTGAGGTGGCAAGCAGGCGGAGGAACTGCTGCGTGTCCGTGGCCAAGGCACCATAGGTTTCTACTGCCAAGCCGAAGAACCCCACATAATCTGGCCGCCCCTCGTATATCCTGTGTTTCCTCTCTGAGGCCTCTCTCGCCGCCCACCTTGGTCGTTTCCTAGCCCTCTTGTCGCGGCACTGTAGGACCGGGTCTGTCACTGTTACATCTGTCACCGATGTTTCATTGGATTCCTTATCTCTGATCGCTAGGTCACCCCTCTTCCGGATCACTGGGGGGGAGAAGGCGGTGGTCTCGTGGAAGACTGTGAAGTCAGCCTCCTTCGCCATCCTCAGTAGGGCGAACACCAGGGCATCGTGGGTACGGACTGCATCACCTCCATGCCCGCAGCGCACAAGGTGGTTCGGTAAGCTCGTGTCTTTGACGTCAGAGTTGTCACGTTTGCACGGGCACTTCACTGTCACAGGGAGGGAGATGCCTAGGCGGAAGCCGAGCGCCAACGAGAACTGACCAAGGGCAAATGTAAGGTCAGTTCGTGTTGGTACGGCATGGAGCCAGTCCCCCGCCCCCACCCCCTGCAGACTGATGAGGCGTATGGCGTGCCCGCGGTCTTTCCCCGGCCGATCCTCAATTGTGTCGGCCAGAAGTTCTGCTGCCCGTGCTTCATTGATGTGCCGAGACAGTGTGAGTTGAAGGCTGCTCTTCTCAGCCGGCTGTTCTCGAAACGCCTGCAGCGCTCCTCGTGCCGGGGGGGGGGGGCAGTACTGCTTCTAGTGTAGTCAAGGGGTTGACCCCTGGTGGGGCGGGGTCCAGCCATGATCCAGGAGCCTCGCCGCTCGGCTCAGGAGGTAGGCCTCTGGGAGGTTCAGCCCACGTAGCAGTTGCTGTGCCGCCATTACTGAGGCAATATAGGCTGCAGGTGCCTCTGAGTTGGGGTCTATTATCCCCAGTCCCCCTGGCCTGACTGGTAGTGTTCCTTGGCGCCACAGTAGGCTCCGCTCCAGTTCACTCGTCGGGGCCCGGAGTTTTGCCGCTGCAAATGCCGTTGCCAGCAAGGCCTCGCTCCAGCTTCTCCACCTATCTCTCTTCAGGGTGTCTGCTGGTGTTGTCCTGAGCAGGTACGACACTCGGCGGGAGATTCTCCTTGACAAGATGAGCAGGGCGCTCTGCGGGTGAAGCTGCGCCACCAGCGGCAGTGTTAGCGACGCCTCTTCCAGCCGGGCTTGGACTTGGTTGGTGCAGAACGCCGGCAGGCCCACTGGGCTACCCAAGACTTTGATTCCCTCCCGGCTCTGCTGCAGTCCGAGCGTTGGTGTGGTGTCGCCCTCCGCCGTCATCGTCTGACTCCATGCAGATGACTTTGCGACGTTGCAGCGTAGGCCGACCGCGGCGAGGTCCCTGGAGATGGCGCTGAACGCCTCGTATGCCACCTCCTTCGGGCCGACGATCGTGATGTCATCCGCGTAGGCGACCACCGCCACCTCGGGGAGCAGGGTCGCTGTGCTGGTCAGGGCCGGCTGGATCGCTGCTGCAAAGAGCAGTGGGCCTAAAGGGTCACCCTGACGCACTCCTCTGGAGCTAGAGATGTGGTCCACGCCGAAGAGTTGATCGACCAAGAGTCGCGACGGTCCCCCATACAAGGTTCTGACTAACGGTAGGAGCGGCAGCAGGCTTGATTGGGAGAGTGCCGTGAAGATTGCCGCGCGTTCCACACTGTTAAACGCATTCTCAATATCTAGTTGTACCGCCACCCGTGTCTCGTCCTCCCGAAGCAATGAACGGACGGAATGAATGATGCACTCTGCACCTCCAGTTACAGCAACCCCGAACTGGACTGGGAGGAAGAAGTCGCGAATATTTTGGGACAGCTCCCTTAGTGCCGCTTTCGCTACCACTCGCAGGATTGCCTCTCCTATCGCGATAGGACGGACTCCTCCGCCCGGCTTCTCAAGCGCGATCAGTCGTGATGGTAGGAGTAGGTCCCTAACCGCCTGGGTCTGGTACGTACTAAGGAGGTAGTTGACTACCTGAGCGAGAAGTACTAGGATTTCACCGTTAGCGAGAGCGGGATCCCTAAGGTGTTCGAAGCAAGTGCTTGAAGGTCCCGCCCCCACTCCATTCAGGCACTTCTGGAGGATTTCGCGTAGGTCGTCCGTGGTAACGTTCAGTGTCGAGTGGTTGAAACCGGTTACCAGCCCGGGTAGTACAGTGGCTGCAGCTGGATGTTTCGCTTGGAGTGATGCGAGTGTCGCTGGGCTGGTATCCGCCAATGGTGTAGTTCGTAGAGCTGCCACCGCCTTCGATATATTTCCTTTTTTCATCAACCCCTCGGCTCTAGCGCAAAGTCCAGCCTCATCCATCTCATGCCTTGTCGAATTTCCACTGTCGGGGATGACGCATGCATCCCTGAAGAGGTCCTGCCAGTTGCTGAGTTGGAATTGGTGCAGGCGTTGCTCGATTGCTGACCAGCGGCTGCCTTCAACAGGTTCGGGGGCCGGTCGGAGAGTCAGCCTCGGGAGGTACTGTAGGACCGCCCAGGCACCTGGGCACTCGGGGATCTTGGACAGACGGATGAGTGGCGTGAGGACGCAGAGTGAGTAGCTCTGTAGGATTTTGGGTGGCATGCGGCGCACGAGGAAAGGTTGGTCTCCCCGCTGTAAGGGAGTCATGTTCCACGTGGCTACCTGCTGGCAGATGGCTTGGTCTTCCGCCAGGTCAGACGGTGACCGCACCCGAGGCTCGCTCTGGTTTCCATTCTCCTCCTCGTTCCTAACTCCCGTCCCTTGTGGGTTTCTCTCCTGAGGGTTTACCACGTTCCTCCTGTTGCTCCTCTGACCTCTAGCCTCTCTTGTCCCGCGCACATCTTCCTCCTACTCGAGCGAGATTTCTTCCGAAGGCGCAGCCGACTCAGCTACAAAGTCATCCCCATCATCGCTGTTGACAACATCCTCCTCAGTCTGATTCGTCGCTGGCTCCGCTTGCTCCGGTCGCTCGTGGCGTTCCCGCCACGTTCCCAATCTCACGAGCGCAGCCCTGCCGCCAACGACCGGGCCTCTTCCGCCCCTTCCCCCCCTGGCACCTCGTCCTCCTCCCCTCGCCCCGCGAGCCGTTGCGCCGCCCCTGGTACCGGCGTTTGGCTCGCCTCGTCCAGCCTGTTGCGGTCTTCCCGCCGGGATCCACGGCGCCAGCATCGGCGTTACCTGGCCACCCCTTGGCTGGCCCCAGGTAATGCCTTGTGCTCTCGTAACGCTGCGTGTTTCACGCCGTGGGGTTTGTTGAGCCAGAACCGCTGCTGTGATTGTTCTCTCCACTCCCTCCATCGGGCCCCGTGTTTCCCAGCGCGGTGTTTGTTGCGTTGAAGGTCCTGCCGCTGCGTTTCCTGCCGTGTTGTTTGTTGTGGTTGCTTGTGTAATGCCGTTCTCTGCTTCCATGTCCCCACCGTTTGTCCCCACAGATGGCGATTGACGCGCTTGCACTTGTGGCAACTGCCCTTGCAGAAGCCAGCCCAGGAGGGGTCCCGGGGGACCAGGTCCCAGCCCTGCTCCGGGCCGCCTCGGTGCTGGCTGGGCTCGAAGCTTCTTCTTCCCTGTCTTCCCGCGGGCGGCGCAGGCAGTCGCGGCGGGTCTGTGACCCCGTATATCGCTCCCCTCCTGGCCGTGCCCCTACGTGCTTGCGCCCTCGGCAGCAGCAGACGTTCCGGCGCTTGCAGCGGCAATCGGCGCATCCTCCTCGGCCGTGGCTCCGCCCTGTTCCCCGGCCGCCGCTGTCACCGCTGCAGCCAGCGCAGCCGCCGTTACAGGCTCCAGCGACGCCGCCAGAGCCAACTCCTCGGTCTGCTCTGGATCCACTGTCAGTTCCAGCTCCCCTGGTTGCAACGCCTGGGGGATGGCAGAGGGTGAAACTGAGCCGCCGCCAGAGGCAGCGTCAAGCCCGCCAAGCTCAGCAGCAACCGCCGCCCCAGTCGCCTCAGCAGCAGCAACCCCCTCCGGCCCCGCAGCAGCCACAGCCTCAACCGCCACAGCCGCCTCCGACTCAGTCACCATTGCGCCGTCACTCTCTCTCTCTCTCTCTCTCTCTCTCTCTCTCTCTCTCTCTCTCTCTCTCTCTCTCTCTCTCTCTCTCTCTCTCTCTCTCTCTCTCTCTCTCTCTCTCAAACGGTCCTTTGTATTGATAATAAGGGCAGGTACAGACATGCAAAGACTATGGATGGAACCTAGATAGCAGAAAGGCAAGCAAGCAAACACAAGGACTAGCAAGCAAACACAAGGACAAGCAAGCAAACACCTCCCTCCCTACTCTCTTCCCCCCCCCCCGCCCCCCCTTGTTCCCTCTAAGGTGCCTCTAGTGTTGTGAAGCAGTCACCGGGGTTCATCTCCCCCTCTGGTCCCCCCAGTGGGGGGTGTTCTGCTCGTGCTGCCAGGTTCAGCTTTGTGAGGAAGCTCACTGCCTGAGCTCTCTGGAGGGCAAAAAACCAGCGCTGGCGGAACTGATGGAGCATCTTCGCGGCCTGATAGGTAGATGGGTCCGCATTGAAGAATTTCCGTGCAGCTTTATCTGCCAGAAGCTTCAGGAAGGTGGGTACCTCGTCGCAGGGGCAGCCATAGGTTTCTACTGCCAACGGGACAAATCCAGCATACTCTGCCCTGCCGAGGTATAGTCCTATCTTTTTATCTGCTGCCTCCCGTGCTGCCCAGCCCCTCCCCTTTCTTGCAGTTTCGTCCCGTTTGCTGATGGGGTCTGTGATTGTGATATCTCCCAGCCACACTGCCCCCGAGCTCCCATCCCTGAAGGCCAGGTCGGCCTTCTTGTTGTCGACCGGGCTGAAGGCGGTGCACTCCTTGTGCACGTCAAATCCAGCATCCTGCGCCATGCGGATGCATTCATCCCGCAGCTCGTCGTGGGTGTTGGTCCGGCCGTGCCCAGTGCCACACCGGAGCAAGTGGTTCGGCAACCTTTTGTCCAGGATGGGGACTCGTTTGTTGCAGTCACAGCAATCTGGTACAGAGAGTGGCATGCCGAGCCTGAACTGGAGGGCGAATGTGAAGTGGCAGGGGTATAGGCGCAGTGAAGGCATGTAGGGGATTGCCATGAGCCAGTCCCCCGCCCCATAGCCCGTGAGGGACATGAGGCGCTGGGTGTGGCCCAGCAGGGGGTTCAGCTCCATTTGCCTGGATGCTGTGATCTGGGCGGCACTCCGGCCCCCTTGGACTAGGAGTGCCAAGCGGTGTTGCAGCTGGCCCTTGGGTTTTGCCTGCTCCGCCGAGATAAGATCCCTCGCCTCCTGCGAGAGGCTGTCCCTGCAGTCCCTGATCCACCGCTGCAGTTCAGTGGGGCTGTGATCAGCTGCTGCGGGGGTGTCCAGTGCTGCTGTCAATGTGGCCCCTGCCTGTCCCCCCAACTGGCTGAGGAGTGAGTGTGCCTGCACGAGACTCGCCAGAAAACAGTATCTGCCCTCCACTGTTGGGTCGGCAAGCCCCAGGCCGCCTAGGCTTGGAGGGAGTGAGGCTTGGTCCCAGATCCGTCCGTCCTCTGCCTCGCCCCTCGGGTGGCGCACCCCGCAAGCATCTAGAAGCGTGTACAGCAGTGCCCGCCCCCACCTTGACCACTCAGCTTCGGGTAGCAGGTAAAGAGGTGTGGTGCGTGCTAGGTACGAGATGCGCCTGGAGATACACCGCGTTAGTAGCAGCGCCGCTACTTGTGGGTCCATGATGGCTATGTGGGGCAGTGGGGACGACATTGTCTCTAGCTGTGACCGTAGAAAGGCCGCTGCACCGTCTGTTGAGCCTATGAAGCTCCCAAGCACCCGCAATCCCTCCGCCTGGAGCGGGACACCCTCGGGCAGCTGCTGGGGATCTGTGGCTACTGCACTCCATGCGGCGCACTTCTCTGGGTTGTGGGTCAGTCCCATATCGCGCAATCCCGTCGTGAAGTGACGGAAGGCGTCAGAACAATCCGCAGCCGGGCCCAGGAATGTGACGCCATCGGCGAATGCGAGGCACAGGACGGATGGGTAGGCTGCTGCTGTCCTGGAAAGGATAGGGTGGATCCCCGCGGCAAACAGTAGTGGGCCTAGCGGATCGCCTTGTCGCACACCCGTCTCGCTAGCCAGGGCCTCACAACCGAATCCCGCGTCAAGGAACAACTGGGCTGGTCGGCTATAGGATATTTTGACGAATCCCGTGTGTTGTTCTAGGCAGGTGTAGGTGTTGCCATTGCGTGTATGTCTTGAGTTATAGTTGCTTGTCCCTTTCTCCCTTGCCGTCACCTCGCGCGCGGCCGAAGGCCGCGCTGTCGAGCGTTGGCCGCCGAAGGCGGCCGACGCGAGCGAAAAATTCGGCCACACCACTGAACAATGAGAGACAAGAGGCCAAGAGGGGCCTCTTATACTAAGGAACAGAGAGGGCAGAGGGCTAAGGGAGAGGGCAGAGGCAAGGTGCCTCTCTCTCTCTCTCTCTCTCTCTCTCTCTCTCTCGCTCTCTCGAACGAGCGAAAAATTCGGCCACACCACTGAACAATTCGGCAGAAGGCTGAGGGTAGAGGGCAGAGGCAAGAACACACTCTCTCTCTCTCTCTCTCGCTCTCTCTCTCTCTCTCTCTCTCTCTCTCTCTCTCTCTCTCTCTCTCTCTCTCTCTCTCTCTCTCTCTCTCTCTAATGGTCCGTATATTGATAGAGCTGGAAGGTACAGACATGCAAGATATGGATGGCAAGGTCTAGCTAACCAAACAAACAAACAACACCAACCAGCCACACAACGACCACACCACCGCCCTCTCTAGAGCTCCAGAAAAGGCTCAACTACCGCGAAGCAATCCCCAAGGTGCAGCTCCTGCCCTATGCCCCCCACGGGGGGGTTTTCTGCCGCTGCTGCCTCGCCCAACTTAAGGAGGAGTCCCACGGATTGTGCTCTCTGCAGGGCCACCGACCACCGTTGCCTGAATTGGTGCAGAAACTTGGCGGCATAGTAGGATTTTGAGTCGGCGTTGAAGTGGCGCCGAGCCGCTGTGTCTGCCAGGAGCTTGAGGAAAACAGGCACCTCGGCGCAAGGACAGCCGTAGGTGTCAACTGCAAGGGGGAAGAAGCCAACCGTCTCTGGGCGGTTGGCGTAATGCTTGATTTTCTTGTCGGCCTGTTCCCGTGCCGCCCATCCCCTGCCCTTCTGTGCTTCCGGGTCCCTTGTGCTGATGGGGTCAGTGATGGTAACATCGCAGATGTAAACCGCCCCACTGCTCCTATCCGTCATGGTGAAGTCGGCGGTTTGCTCCTCGATAGGGCAGTGGGCCGCTGACTCCCTATGTACGATAAACCCCGCGTCTTGCGCCATGCTAACGCAGGCGTCGCGCAGCTCATTGTGCGTGTTTGTGCGATGCTTGCCTGTGCCGCAGCGGAGCAGGTGGTTCGGGAGGCGGGGGTCAGTGATAGCCGTGTGTTCTGCGCAGTCACAGTTTTTGGGAGTTGAAAACGGTAGGCCAAGACGGAAGCGTACGGCGTTGGCGAAGTGCACTGGCCCTATCCGCCTTGTGGGAGCGATGGGAATCGCGGTGAGCCAATCGCCTGTGCCGTAGCCAGTGAGTGAAAACATCCGCTGCGTGTGACCCGCAAGCGGATTCGGCTTCATACGCCTCGTCGCCCGCACCTGGACTGCATATCGGCTTCCGTGGACCTTGAGTCCTAGCACATGCTGGAGCCGGATGTCAGACCGCTCCAGCCGCTCCTTCTCCAGAATCTCCCGCGCATCTAACGGCAGTGCCTCCTCGCACTCGGTCAGCCAGGTGTGTAGCGGTGTGCTGTCAGCCGGCGGCAGTAGCATATGGTTCCGTGCTAGTGCGAGGGCGTTATCGTGTTCTAGCGGTAGGGAGCTGATATAGAGTGCCGCCTGCGTGAAGCTTGCTATGAAGCCGTAGATCCCCTCGACTAGTGGGTCAGTAATGCCCAGGCCTCCTAACGATGGTGGCAGCGACGCTTGTTCCCAGACCCGCGACTGTTCGGTTCGGCAGGTCGGGAAGCGGATATCGCACGATGTGAGGAGCGTTGTAAGCAGATCCCTACCCCACTGGCTCCATTTATCCCGGGGGAAGAGATGGAGTGGTGTTGTCCTGGCGAGGTAAGCAACTCGTCGTGAGATGCAGCGCGTGAGTAGCAGTGCTGCAACCTGGGGGTCTGCTCGCTCGAGTAAGGGTAGGGGCTTTGACATCTCAGCGAGTTGAGATTCTAGGAACTGGGCTGCGCCGCTGTCCTGCCCCACGAAACTACCCAGCAGCCGCACGCCATGTTCAGAGAACGGCACTCCTGGCGGAAGGGAATCTGTGTCGATCGTGCTTGAACTCCAGGCAGCGCATTTCTGTGGGTTATGCTCGAGGCCCAGGTGTGCCAACTTGGCCGTGAAGTGTGTGAATGCAGCTACAGTGCGGGATGTGTCACCCAGGAAGGTGACGTCGTCCGCATACGCCAAGCACAGCACGTCAGAATGTGCTTCGGCCGTTTCTCGAAGCGTGGCGTGTATCCCTGCTGCAAACAGTAGCGGCCCAAGGGGGTCGCCCTGACGCACGCCGCGTTCACTTGTGAGTGGTTCGCTGTTGAAGTTGGAATCCAGTAATAATTGCGACGGGTTACCGTAGGTCAATTTCACGAGCGGCAGCAGTGGCGAGAGGGCGGGTTCGTGTAACGCGTTGGCGACGGCGGTTCGCGAAATGCTGTTGAAGGCATTTGAAATGTCGGCTTGTAGGACCAGGCTGTTCGGGCGGGCATCCGCGAAGGCTCGTGCTGCGTGGATCACTGTCTCTGCTCCACCTGGAACTGCCACCCCGTACTGCAGCGGTAGGAAGAAATCGCGGACCGGTTCTCCCATGATTAACAGGGCGGCTTTCGCTGCCAGCCTCGTCAGGCATTCGCCAATTGCGATTGGCCTGGCCCCTCCCCCTGGCTTGGCCAGGGCTATGAGTCGTGACGCCGTCAGCAGGTTTGCAACCGAGTCAGGCAATTTCCCTCCCAGCATGGTGTTGACCAAGGCGTGCAGATGGGTGCTGACCATAGCGTTGGTGATCGCCGCGTCGCGCAGGTGCTCGAATGTCATCCCTGACGGTCCGGCTCCGACCCCATTCTCGCATCGTCCTAACATTTTTGCGAAGTCATGGTGGGGGATTGACAGTTTTGACCCCTGCGGCTCCGGCCACGTCACTGCCTCGTCTGCGGCAGGTGGGTGCTTTCGCCGTAGCTCCTCCAATATTTCCGGGCTGGGTGTGCAGACAGGCGTTGACTCGAGGGCCAGCACGGCTCGGCGCAGACTGCCACGTTTCGCCAGGCTCTCTGCGCGGCTGATGACACCTGTCACATCTGGTTGGTGTCTTGGCGGGGGCGGTGTGTTGACTGCATTCAACGCGTCTTGGTACAGCTGATCCCATTCGCCACGCTGGAAAGCTCGGAGCCGGCTCTTGACACTTGGCCAGTTCGGGCGTTGTGGCGAAGTCTGGCGAAGCGTCAGGCGCGGGAGAAACAGCAGCAGGCGCCATCCCATTTCCGAATCAGGGTTTCGCGATAGGTGGTGTAACGGTGTCAGTAGTGCGAGCGAAAAAAGGTGACACAGGTTTGGCGGTAAACGCCGCGACAGTGGTGGCTGACGACTATCGCAGAGTGCTGGCATGTCCCAGTTCGCGATGGCTGCGAACAGGTCTGTCCGCTTCGCTAGCTCGTCTGGTGAAAAGTAGCGGGGAATTGACGCTGGTGGGCGCGCCGCTGTACCGACATTGGCGGTTCGATTTCTCCCAGCGTGGCTCGATCTCATTGGTGGGCCCGAGGTTGGATTTGCACCCGTCCGATCAGCATCGGATGGTGGCTGTGTCATTCGTGGTACTTGCAATTCCGCCTGCTGCACCACTTCTTCCCTTCTCCTTGGTCCTTCTCTCGCCATGCCTTCCCCCTCCGTCTCCTCCTCCTCGCTCTCGGGGAGGGCTTCTTCCCTATAAGATGGGTCGTCCCGCTCATTTTCATCATTAGTTTCTTCAACGTTGTTTAAAGCCGCACGCGCTGCCGCCTGATACCCATTCTCTGGCCCTCCGCCTGTACCGCTTACGGTTTCTCTCCTCGCCACGCGGCTACCCTGCTCTAGGGATGGTGATTGCCGGAGTATCTGAGCCGTCGCCAGGGCACGTTGCCGCCTGGTCGGCTGTGGTCGCAAAGCCTCCAGCGGAGCCTGAAAGGGCGACCATGGCGACGAAGCCCCCTCTACCGCCGGCTCCGACACCCGTGACAGCAGTCGTTGAAAAGACTCCTCCCCACGCACCCGCGGATCCCCTTGCCGGGTCGAAGGCAGGACCGTCTGCTCCCGCTGCTGTTCCGTCTGCTCCGCCTGCGGCACCTGGCCCACCGGCTCCCCTTGTCGAGCCGTCGGCGTCTGCCCCTGCTGGGGGTGTTGCTGAGCCCCCTGCACCTGTCCTTGGCGCCCCTGTTGCGCCGACCGCTTCTGTCCCCTGCTTGCCTGCGCCTGCCTCTGCCTCGTCACCAAAGGCGGCGTCCGCCACCACTGGCGAGCCGGCTCCATCGGTTGCGCCTGTGGCGGCGGGCCAGTCCGCCCCTGCTGTGACGGCGGTGGCTCCGGCAGGCCACCCGTCACGCCCTCCATCACCTGACCGTCGCTCGTCGCGCCCTCATTCCCCCGCTCCCCAACAGGAACGCAAATCGTCTCGTCGCCGGCGTGAGTCTCCACGGCGGTACCAGCAACAGCCGCACTGGCCCGCGCACCACGGGGGCCAGGGGGATTGGATGGGTCCCCGTGCTCGTGGCGGGGGTGGGGGGTATCGCCCGCCCGTGACGATGGCGGATCTTCAGCGGGAAGTTTCGAGGGCGGTTCGGGAGGAGAGGGCGGCGTATAGCCAGACCGGTTCGCTGCGCGCGTCGCCGGCCCACGAGGTTCCTCGTCCGGCTGCGCTCCCCCCGAACTCGCAGCCTGTTGCTGCGCCTCCTCCTCAGATCCTGGCGCCGCCAGCTCCTTCTCCTGCTGTATCGGCGCCTGCTCCCGGCTCCCGTCTCTCTCTGCCACCGGTTCCGCCCGTAGCGGGAGTGGAGTTTGTGGCCGCGGGTGGCGGCTCGTTGGCGGCTCCGTTTGCTCTCCCAGCTGATGCTGATGAGCCGCTCCAGTTCCTGGCGGAGGCACTCCAACCTCCGCAGACCCGTGTTCCCGAGGCAACACTCGGACAGCTACACCGCCTCGCCAACAGTCTCCATGCTCTGCTGCTGATTCAGGTGCTGGCCCACTCGTCTCTCCCTGTGATCCCTCCTGAGACGTTCCGTGGCCGCCAGCGTGATTCTTGCCTGGACGCGGCGGACCAGCTCGCGGTGCTGCTGGCGCCCGTGCTGGCTGCGCCCGCGGAGGGAGGCGCTGCTGCCGCGGGACAGCTTGACGATGCTGTCCGGGGCCTGAGGCGGCACTTGCGCGCTGGATCTGGAGCCGCGGCGATCGGCGCAAGCACGCTTGTGGTCCGGGAGCTGTGGCGCTCCCTGACGGGCGTTCTTCACGCCCTTGGAGCTCACCGCATGTAGTTGCGGGCTCCCCTATATCTGTTCCCGCCATTCTAGGCCTCTATGTGTGATGCCATGTGTGTATGTCAGCTCAGTAATATAGTTGTTTGCGCGGTGCGCGCTTGCCGTCCCCTCACACGCGGCCGAAGGCCGCGTCGTCGAGCATCGGCCGCCGAAGGCGGCCGGCGCGAGCGAAAAATATTGAACCCACCGAACAATGAGGAGAAGAGGCCAAGGAGGCCTCTTAAGTATCTCACGGAGGAGAGGGCAGAGGGCAAAGGGAGAGGGAAGAGGCTAGGTGTCTCTCTCTCTCTCTCGCTCTCTCGAACGAGCGAAAAATATTGAACCCACCGAACAATGAGGAGAAGAGGCCAAGGAGGCCTCTTAAGTATCTCACGGAGGAGAGGGCAGAGGGCAAAGGGAGAGGGAAGAGGCTAGGTGTCTCTCTCTCTCTCGCTCTCTCGAACGAGCGAAAAATATTGAACCCACCGAACAATGAGGAGAAGAGGCCAAGGAGGCCTCTTAAGTATCTCACGGAGGAGAGGGCAGAGGGCAAAGGGAGAGGGAAGAGGCTAGGTGTCTCTCTCTCTCTCGCTCTCTCGAACGAGCGAAAAATATTGAACCCACCGAACAATGAGGAGAAGAGGCCAAGGAGGCCTCTTAAGTATCTCACGGAGGAGAGGGCAGAGGGCAAAGGGAGAGGGAAGAGGCTAGGTGTCTCTCTCTCTCTCTCTCTCTCTCTCTCTCTCTCTCTCTCTCTCTCTCTCTCTCTCTCTCTCTCTCTCTCTCTCTCTCTCTCTCTCTCTCAAGCAGTCCTTCATTGATAGGTTCATAAGGGTACAGGCATGGCAGGGATAGTAGCTAGACAGGCCTAGGCATTGAAGCAGCTAAACATGCAAGGCAGGTACACGTAGCGGGTAGGATATCTGCAAACAGACAAGACAAGACAGGACAGCCGGGTGGTGCAAGGCAAGGCAAGGCAAGGCAAGGCAAGGCAAGGCAGGCAGACCTAATGCAGGGCAGGGCATGGCAAGCAAGGCAGCAAACAGACAAACAGACAAACAGACAAGCAGACAAACAAGACAAACATGTCTAGACTACCGCAGGTGAGTCATGGCTAACCGACTAGCCTACCGTTCATCTGTCTCACTGGGTCCATCCCCCCTCCATCTCATCCTCCAGTACCTGCCAGAGATCTCCTAGGCTAGGCTCCCAGGGGTCCCTTGCAGCCTGGGGGAAGGCCGCTTCATCTGCAATGTTCGACTTGTTTAGGAATGAAGCAGCCTGTGAGCGCTGCAACATGACTGACCACCGCTGCCTGTAGTGTGCTGTGAGCCGGGCTGTTGTTGTGGTCAGTTTCCCCTGGCGGTACTTCTTCTTGGCTGCTGAGGTGGCCAAGAGGCGTAGGAATTGCTGTGTGTCCGCGCAGAGGGCACCATACGTCTCCACCGCCAGCCCAAAGAAACCGACATAATCCGGCCGCCCCTCATACTCTCTGTGCTTCCTCGCAGATGCCTCTTCGGCTGCCCATCCTGGTGGTTTCCGTGCTCTCGTGTCGCGTTGCTGAAGCACGGGGTCGGTCACTGTCACATCCGTCACCCAGGTCTCGTTTGACTCCCTGTCCCTAATGGCCAGGTCCCCTCTCTTCCTGAGTATCGGTGGGGAGAAGGCTGACGTCTCATGGAAGCATGTGAAATCCGCCTCTCTTGCCATCCTCAGTGCCGCGAACACCAGTGAGTTATGTGTGCGGACCACATCCCCCTCATACCCGCACCTCAGGAGATGGTTCGGCAGGCTTGTGTCAGTGATGTCCGAATATTCTCGCTTGCAGGGGCACTTCACTGTGACCGGCAAGGACATGCCCAAGCGGAAACCCAATGCCAAAGAGAACTGACCAGGGGCAAATGTAAGGTCAGCTCTCGAAGGCACGGCATGTAGCCAGTCCCCTGCTCCCACCCCCTGCAGGCTAATGAGGCGGATGGCGTGCCCTCGGTGTGTGCCTGGGCGGTCTGTGATCGTGTCAGCCAGCAGTTCCGCTGCTCGTCTCTCGTTAATGTGGCGGGAGAGTAGTAGCTGTAGGTTGCCCTGTCCTGCTGGCCGCTCCCTGAACGCCTGTAGTGCAGACTGTGCAGTTGCCGGCATCCCCGCCTCTAGTGGGGCCAGCTGGTTGACTCCAGGTGGTGCAGGGCTCCATGCATGGTCTAGCAGGGTGACCGCCCTGCGCAGCAGGTATGCCTCTGGCAGGTTCATCTGCCGCAGTAGGAGCTGGGCTGCCGTTACCGAGGCTATGTAGGCTGCAGGTGCCTCCGAGGTAGGGTCAATGATACCTAGCCCCCCTAGCCTGACGGGGAGAGTTCCTTGCCGCCACAGCAGGCTCTGCTCCAGCTCACTCGCTGGGACCCGTAGCTTCGCCGCCGCCAGTGCCGTCGCCATCAGAGTCTCACTCCACGACCTCCACTCCTCCCTCTCCAGCACAGCAGCCGGGGTGGTCCGCAGCAGGTATGATATCCTGCGGGAGATGCTCCGCGAGAGTGTTAGCATAGCGTGCTGTGGGTGTAGTTGAGCAATCAGGGGCAGCGGTGCAGATGCCTCCGTGAGTCGTGTCTGTGCATGGTCTGTGCAGAAATCAGCTGCGCCGATCGGGCTCCCCAAAACTCCGATGCCGTTGGTGTTCATCGGCAGGCCCTGCGGAGGTGGGATCTCGTTCCTCCCTTCCGTGTCCGGTCCCCACCCTGAGGACTTGGCAATGTTGCAGCGGAGCCCCACCGATTTGAGCTCCCTCGTGATAGTGATGAAGGCCTCATAAGCCGCGTCCCGAGGGCCCACAATGGTGATGTCGTCGGCGTAGGCGACGATCGCTACCTCGGGGAGTAGTGTTGCCGTGCCTTGGAGTGTCGGTTGGATTGCTGCTGCGAAGAGGAGCGGGCCTAGCGGATCGCCTTGACGGACTCCTCGGTTGCTCATGATTTGATCGACGCCAAGCTTGTGGTCCACCAGGAGGCGAGATGGGCCGTCATACAGCGTGCGTACGAAGGGTAGGAGCGATAGCAAGCTTGATTGCGAGAGCGCCTGGAAGAATGCCGGTCGTTCAACACTGTTGAAGGCGTTCTCGATGTCGAGCTGTAGCGCTACTCGAGTCTCGTCCTCCTTAAGCAGTGATCTGACTGAGTGAACGATGCACTCCGCGCCGCCCGTAACTGCCACCCCAAACTGTACGGGGAGGAAGTACTCGCGAATGGTCTGTGCTAGCTCCCTCAGTGCCGCCTTTGCCACTACGCGGAGTATCGCCTCTCCTATCGCGATGGGCCTAACGCCTCCTCCCGGTTTCTCCAGGGCGATGAGTCTCGATGGAAGAAGCAAATCGCGGACCACCTGGGTCTGGAAGGTGCTAAGGAGGTAGCTGATAATATGTGCGAGGAGTATGAGCACCTCCTCACTCGCGAGCGCAGGGTCTTTGATGTGTTCGAAGCAGGTGCCTGATGGCCCTGCTCCCACTCCGTTCGGGCATCGCTTGAGTATTTCGCGAAGGTCATCTGGAGTTACTCGCAGCTCCGAGTGGATATAGCCGGAAACGAATGTTGCCGGGGGCGATGCAGAATCGGGGTGTTTCGCCTGCAGTGCAGCGAGTGTCGCTGGTGTGGCCTCGGCGAGGGGGGTTGCCCGTAACGCTGCAACTGCTTTCGAAATATTACCTTTCTTCATCAGTCCTTCTGCCCTAGCGCAGAGTCCAGCATCATCGGCTTGGTGGCGTGACGGGTTCTCCGTATCGGGGATGACCTTAGCTTCCTCGAAGAGTTCCCCCCATTTGCCTTGCTGGAACCGATGCAGCCTTTCCTCAATCCCTGTCCACCGGCTTCCCTCAACTGGTTCGGGAAGAGGCCGCAAAGTCAGCCTCGGGAGGAATTGCAGGATCGTCCATGCACCTGGGCAGTCGGGACATTTCTGCAGGCGTAGGAGTGGTGCCAGCACGCAGAGGGTGTAGCTCTCCAGGATTTTTGGGGGCATCCTCCGAACCAAGAATGGTTGGTCCCCTCGTTGAAGTGGGGCAACTTCCCACGTGGCTGCCAGCTGCCAGATGGCCTCGTTTGCCGCCAGCTCGGCCGGTGACTGTACGTTGTGTTGCCCCGATTCTCTCTGGTTCCCACTCGTCACTGCTCCGGTCTCTTCCCGTTCGTGGGGGTTTCTCCTTCCCCGGGGTTTCTGTGCTGGGGGTTTCTCCCAATCTCCCTCCGTCCCCTCACTCGTCCTGTCGTGTCTTCCTCCGCCTCCAGCGAGATCTCTTCTGAGGGTTGGGGGGTCTCGGCTACATAATCCCCCCCGACATCCTCATTCCCAGGTTCCCCCTCCTCCTGATTCGTCGGTGGCGCCACCTCCTCTGGGCGTTCGTGACGTTCCCGCCACGTTCCCGATCTCACAAGCGCCTCCCTTCCGCCGACGATTGCGCCCCCGCCCCTTCTTCCACCTCTTGCCCCGCGTCCTCCGCCTCGGGCCCCCCCAGTCGTCGCTCCTTCCCCGATCCGGCCCTCGACGTTCCGCCCCCCCCGTCCGGCCTGTGGCGCTCTTCCCGCCGGGATCCACGGTGAGTTTGTCTGTCGCGCCAGACCGATCCTCGGACGGCCCCAGGTAATGCCTTGTGCGCGGGTGGAACTCCGTGTTTCCCGCTGTGGGCCTTGTGTAGTCGCTGCCTCTGGGGCTATGTGACCTGCCACGTGCCTGACGTCGGTTTCCTCGTCATTTTCCCCTCTTTCTGGCCCCACAGATGGTGGTTGACGCTCTTGCGATAGTGGCGTCTGCTCTTGCTCACTCCAGCCCCGGAGGGGACCCGGGGCTCCAGGTCCCAGCCCTGCTCCGGGCCGCCTCGGCGCTGGCTGGGCGCGGAACTTCCTCACGCTCTTACCGCGAGCGGCGCGCCCAGGGGCGTCGGTCCCGTGATCCCGTCTTCCGCTCGCCGCCTGGTCGCGCTCCTGCGTGTCTGCGCCCTCGGCAGCAGCAGATGTTCCGGCGCTCACAGCGGCCACCGGTACCCCCCCCTCGACCGGGGCGTCGGCCATGCTTCCCGCCGCAGTCGCAGCAGTCACCGCCGCCGCCAACACCGCCGCCGTTACCGGCGCCGGCGACGCAGACAACGCCACCACCTCAGTCTGTTCCTGATCCACCGCCTGACCCAGCTCCTGTGTCTGCGGTTGTGCCCCCTGGTGGTTGGCCGAGAGTGAGGTTGAGCCGCCGCCAAAGACGGCAGCAGTTCCGCCAGCCAGCCCTGGTGCCGTCACAGTCTCCGCTGCGATCTCCGCCGCCACAGCCGCCCCGTCCTCAACCGCAGTCGCGGCAGCAGCAACAGCCTCTGGCGTCTCCGCGGCAGCAGCCACGTTCTCCGCGGCCCCCACTGTCGCCGTCGCCGCTGCGACGCTTCCCCCTTCCACTGCAGCCGCCGCCGCCTCAGCCCTCCTCATCGGCTGCTCCGTCACCGGCGCCAATGGAATACCCACAGCTGTTTCTTGGCGGGAGGCGCATCCCAATCTCGTGGGAGGTGATGGGGTATTTGAGGGCGGAGGAAGCCCCGGATGTGCAGTCACCCCCTCTGTCAACCCCGCCATTGTCTCCTCCTCCACCTGTCGGTCCTGATCTCCCCCCCCCGCCGTCTCCGGAGGTGATTTCGCCGCCGGGCTCCCCACCGCAGAGCATGGCATACCGCGCCGCCCAGCGCGTTGGGCACGTGGGGACTTGCCTGACGTTGCTGGGAATGGTCCTCGACCAGCTGCACCTCTTCCAGCTGCGGCAGATTCGTCCTGGGGAGGTGCCTCCGGTACTGTCGGCCCAGGAGCAGGAGGAGGGTGTGGCAGCGGCGTTGCAGATGCTGGAGATGCTGCCTTTGATTGGGCTGGTGCCGGACTCCCCTGGCGCCGCCTTGGGGCCTGGCCCTGCTGCGCTGAGGCGGCTTGTTCTTGCTGCCTTGCAGGCCCCGCGGGACGTAGTACCGGCTGCCGCATCCGTGCTACGCTGGATGGACGGCCGGTTGAGTTGGATCCTGGCCGAGTAGCGGCCCTCTTCCCCTTGCCCGCCTGCTTGGTTGCAGGCGTGGCATTGGGCTTCCCCATGGCGGTATCTCCTCGCCTGGGGGTGTTGTTGTCTTGTATTACCACTGATGCATGTTGTAACCCTCCATGTTATAAGTTATAAGTCTTGTCCCTCCAAGTCCTTGTCACCCCTCACGCGCGGCCGAAGGCCGCGCCGGCGAGCGACGGGCGAGCCGCCGATTTCTGGGAGTGAAAGGAACTCAACAGAGAATAATGAGAGATGGGAGGAGCTGCTAGGCCTTATATACTAGGAAGAGAGGCTAAGAGAGGCTAAGAGAGGCTAAGGGAGGCTAAGGACTGCTCCTAGTGCCTCTCTCTCTCTCTCTCGATCTCTCTCCATAGCCGCCGATTTCTGGGAGTGAAAGGAACTCAACAGAGAATAATGAGAGATGGGAGGAGCTGCTAGGCCTTATATACTAGGAAGAGAGGCTAAGAGAGGCTAAGAGAGGCTAAGGGAGGCTAAGGACTGCTCCTAGTGCCTCTCTCTCTCTCTCTCTCTCTCTCTCTCTCTCTCTCTCTCTCTCTCTCTCTCTCTCTCTCTCTCTCTCTCTCTCTCTCTCGATCTCTCTCCATAGCCGCCGATTTCTGGGAGTGAAAGGACTACTGCTGCGCGGCCGTGAAGTGCGCGTAGGCCAGCCGTGAAGTGTCTCTCTCTCTCTCTCTCTCTCTCTCTCTCTCTCTCTCTCTCTCTCTCTCTCTCTCTTTCTCTCTCTCTCTCTCTCTCTCTCTCTCAAGCGGTCCTTCATTGATAATACGCAGGGTACAGGCAAGGCATGCAAGGAACACCAACAACTCTAACATGCAGTCTAGGTATCCAAACAGCAAGCAAGCAACAGACAACTACAACTTGTGGCTAGCTCGTCTGTCGGCCAGAGAAGCCATGAGGCCTACCTAGTGCCTACTCCCCTGGGACCGCAGCCTGGGGTCAGCTCAACCTCCAGCCTCCTCACTCCAGCCCCCTTACCCCAGCCCCTCACCCATCCAGGACCGGCCCCCAGTCCAGTTCGTCTTCCAGGACCTGCCAGATGTCCCCGAGGCGGGGCTCCCACGGTTCGACTGGGGCCTGGGGGAACGCCCGCTCTGCAGCCCTGTTGGACTTTGCCAGCAGGGTGTTGGCCTGGCTGCGCTGGAGCATCACTGACCATCTCTGTCGGTAGTGTGCGGTCAGCTTCGAGGCCACTGTGGTGAGCCTCCCCTGTCTGTACTTCTTCTTGGCCGCCTGGGTGCCAAGAAGTCGGAGGAACCTCTGGGTGTCTTGTGCTAAGGCCCCATAGGTCTCAACCGCCAGCCTGAACACCCCCACGAAGTCTGGGCGCCCTTCATACAGCCCCCTCTTCCCCCTTGCCGCATCCTCAGCTGCCCAGCCAGGGCGCTTCACAACCCGTGTGTCTCGGCGTTGCAGAACCAGATCTGTCACTGTAACGTCGGTGACGAAGGTCTCGGCCGACTCCCTGTCCGTGATGACCAGGTCCGCTCGCTTAGGGTTGACTATTGGCGAGTAGACCGCGGTCTCATGCATGGTCATGTAGTCGGCCTCTCTGGCCATCCGTAGTGCTGCATACACCAGGCTGTTGTGCGTGTTTGTCCTGTCCCTCCCCTCCGCGCACCGCAGCAGGTGGTTTGGGAGGCTGCGGTCTTCTATCTTCGACCGAGTCTTGCCGCAAGGGCAGTTTTCCGTGACAGGTAGGGTCAACCCCAGCCAGAAGCCAAGGGCGATAGCAAACTGCCCTGGGGAGAAGGTCAGGTCCGCACGTGTGGGGATTGCATGAAGCCAGTCCCCCGCCCCTGTCCCCTGCAGGGCGATCAACCGGATGACGTGGCCATTGTCCTCACCCGGCTTGTCAATCCGCGTGTCACCGACCAACTCTGCCGCTCGGTCCAGGTTCACGTGCTTGGACAGCTGCTCCTGCAGGCGGCCCTTCCGCTCCCTCTTCTTGCCGGCCTCCTTCAGTACCTCCCGCGCCGCTTCCGGCAATCTGCTCCGCAGGTCCTGTAAGGTCGTTCTCCCTTCGCTCCCGCCTCCATCCTCATGCGGCGACAGCAGTGCCGCCACTTGTTGGAGTGGGTGGTAGGGCGTGCTAGAGGCCTTCAGCAGGAGTGTCTGCGCCGCGTTCAGAGAGGCTAAAAACGCAGCTGGCGCCTCGGAGAGCGGATCCACCAGTCCCAATCCCCCCAGGGCGATCGGCAGTGTCGCTTGCCTCCACACCAGACTCTGCTCGATCTCCTTGGAGGGTGTGTGCAGGTGGGCTGCCTTGAGGGCAGTCCATAGGAGCCTCTCGCTCCATTCTCTCCATTCGCGCCGTGGTAGCACGTCCGCGGGTGTCGTGCGAAGCAGGTACGAGATACGTCTGGAGATGCACCGCAGTAGCAGGGCGTGTTGTGGGTGGAGCTTGCCGATGAGGCCGAGCGGCTCCGCCGTAGATTCCAGTGTCGCCCTTACCACGCGTCTGCTGTAGGCTAGGGTCCCGATGGGGCTTCCCAACACCTTTATGCCATCGGCCGCCGACACCAGTCCGTCCGGGAGGTTTCCGGTGCTTCCCGAGGGACTCCACGCCGTCGACTTGGCTAGGTTGCACCGAAGACCGTATCCCATTAGTTCGCCGCAGATCATGTTCAGCGCTCGCGTTGCATCCGCCGGTTTGCCGAAGATCGTGATGTCGTCTGCATACGCCATCACGGTCACTGTGGGCACTGCTTCCGCTGCCGTGAGCAGTGCCGGTTGTATGGCCGCGGCGAAGAGCATGGGGCCGAGCGGGTCCCCTTGGCGCACCCCCCGTGCACTATCTATCGACGCCGCTTCAAACCCGCTGTCGAGGAGTAGTTTCGACGGTTTGCTGTATAAGGTTCGTACGAGCGGTAGTAGCTTGACGAGGCTCGTCCATCTCATTGACTCTAAGAAGCACCCGCGTTCGACCGTGTTGAATGCATTCTCGATGTCCAGTTGAAGCGCTATCCTGCTCGGATCCTCGGCGAGGAGCGTGCGCGCCGTGTGGATTATGCACTCCGCACCTCCCACGACGGCCACGCCGAATTGCACAGGTAGGAAATAGGCCCGGATTTCCGCGGACAGCTCCCTGAGCGCCGCCTTGGCTGTGAGCCGAAGGATCGCCTCGCCTATGGCTATGGGCCTCACGCCGCCTCCCGGCTTTTCGAGTGCTATCAACCGGGCAGGGAGTAGTAGTTCTTGCAGCTGCTCGTTCTGGTAGGTGTTGAGCAGCAGGTTCATTGTCTTGTGGAGCAGTGTGAAGATTTCCCCGTTTGTTAGAGCAGGGTCGCGGAGGTGTTCGAAACACGTGCCTGATGGACCTGCTCCAATTCCATTCGGGCATTTCGCCAGTACTTCGCGAAACTGCTCCGCCCCAATGGCGAGTGCTGACGTTGTGTAACCACCTGTGCCCTAGGGTATCGCTAATTCCGCTGCTGGGTGTTTCAAGCGGAGTGCCTCCAATGTTGGATGTGACGTCTCTGCCAGCGGCGATGTTCGCAGTGCTGCCACCGCCTTCGCCAGGTTTGCTTTCCGGACCAGCCCTTCTGCCCTGGCACAGATGCCTTCTGGATCCGGCTCGTGTCTGCTGGGTTTGGAGTTTGCCGGGAAGGTGCTGGCCTCAAGGTACAGTGAATCCCAATCCTCCTCGCGAAATTGCTGGAGACGCTTCTCCACCGCCGCCCACTTGTTCCCAGGAGTTTTTTCCAGGCTCGCCCTAAGTGTCAGTCTCGGCAGAAACTGTAGGATTCGCCACGCGGCCGGGCAGTTCGGATACTTTGACAACCGCAGTAGCGGGATCGTGAGGCAGAGGCTAAAGTTTTTGAGGATTTCCGGCGGAAGCTTCCGGACCAGGAAGGGTTGGGCACTGGATTGAAGTGGTCCCAGATCCCATGCATGATTCCGCTTCCTGCGAGGCCATATATTCTGACCCGCCCTCCTCTTCTCCTTCATTCATTGGATCCTCAACCTGCTCCTCTGGCCTCTCATGCCGTTCCCGCCAGTTTCCAGATCTGGCTTTCTCCCTCGCCACTGCTCCCGCCAGATCTCGGGGACCTCTTCCCCCGTTACGTCCCCTCCCTCGGCCTCTGCCCGCCGCCCTCGGCGCCGCGTTTTGCGGCTGCAGGCCTGCCGCCCGTTCGTCGGCCCGGTCCTGGAGCGCTCTTTGACGGCTCGTGCCAGCCCGCCGCCTGCGTTCTGCCGTGTCGCCGCGTCGTTCTAGTGTATCCTCGTGGTCCGCACCCACCGCCATAACAGCCTCCGCCTCGTGTGTCCCTTCCGCCGTGTCCGCAGGCACATTCGATGACGGGCAAGCGACGCCCACACCAGGTGCCGGAGCGTCCGCCGAGTCCACTTGCTCCTCCCACCCCGCAAGGGGCCCAGGGCGGGCAGGTCCCAGCCCTGCTCCGAGCCGCCGCGGATGTGGTTGCGGCCGGAGTAGGTGGCGGTGTTTCGCAGCCTCCTCCTCCCTCGCCGGCCCCCCGCCAGCCGATGTTCCGGTTCTCCCGTGGCCGGGCACCTCCCCAACTGCGACCTCGCGGGCAGAACTTTCGCCGTCGTCGGCCGCCTCGTCCCCAGCGCCCGCAAGGACCTCAGGCTTACCGCCCGCTTGGTCCGTCCGCTCAGCCCCAAGTGGCGCAGTCCCAGCCCCTGCAGCTTCCGCCACCGATGTCGCAGTCTTCGACGTCGCAGCAGCAGCTGTCCTCGGCATCAGAGCCGGCCCCGCAGCCGTTGGCCCAGTCGTTGGCGTCCGCGCCGAGTTCTCATCCGCCAACACCGCCACAACTGGCGGCGGAGGGGGTTCAAGCGCCGCAGCAGCCGCCGCCGCCCGTGTCCACGCCACCCGAGCCGGAACCCCTTGCGCCGGCTGCCCTTCCTGTTGCTCAGACGCCTCCCCAGCCGCTTGTTGAAGACCCTGCTCCGCCGGCGCTACCCCCTTGGCAGCAACCCCGACGTCAGCATCCCCTCGTGCCAACCGTCCCACAGACTGCCTTCCGTTTCCCTCCTCCCCGTCGCCCCTACCCGCGTGGATGGGATTCGCCTGAGCGTCCACCATCCGCTCCTGATCTCGACCCTCACTGGGAACCTTACCCACCTTGGTGCGTGCAGCCGGACCTGGACGTGTGGGGACGGCAGTGGGGAGAGGAGCCGAGCTACTTCGACCTTTGCCGGTGGGAACAGCGGATGCGCGGTGTAGGGCGTTGCTTGTCGAATGTGGCGACGGTGTTGGAGCAGCTGAACCACGCGATTGGGCGGCGGAACCTTGCCTCACGGAACCCGCAGCTGAGCGAGTTCGAGCAGGGGGTGGTGAGAGAGGCCGCGGCTCAGGCGATGTCGACGATGCTGTGCCTGCCCCTTAAGCCTGAAGACCCGTCGGTGGCTGAGGGGCCTGGTGCAACTTCTTTCCGCCAGGTAGCCAGGGCGGCCGAGGAGGCGCCCCTTGAGATTGTCCCCGCGCTCGCGGTTGCGCTCCGCTGGATGGATCGGCGGATGTTTCTGATTGCTCCCTCCCCGTAGGCGGTGCTGTACCCGCTGCCGCCTTTGCTTGTTGTTTCTTCTTCCCCATTGCTGGGGACTTACCTTGCCTGTAGGTGTGTTAGGCGGTTACCACTGCATGTTGTAATCCGTGCCCTTATATCGATTTCCCCTTGATGTGCTTGCCACCCCTCGCGCGCGGCCGAAGGCCACGCTGTCGAGCGTCGGCCGCCGAAGGCGGCCGGCGCGAGCCGCCGATTTTTGGAGAGTAGAATGAGCTCACCAGTGAATAATGAGGAGGAAAGGGGTCCCCTAGGCCTTATATACTAGGGAACTAGTCTAAAAACGGCTAAGGACTAGACTAGGCTAAGAAACTAGGCTAAAAACGGCTAAGGACCAGAACCAGAGGCTCTCTCTCTCTCTCTCTCTCTCTCTCTCTCTCTCTCTCTCTCTCTCTCTCTCTCTCTCTCTCTCTCTCTCTCTCTCTCTCTCTTTCTCTCTCTCTCTCTCTCTCTCTCTCTCTCTCTCTCTCTCTCTCTCTCTCTCTCTCTCTCTCTCTCTCTCTCTCTCTCTCTCTCTCGCTCTCTCGAACGAAAGCCGCCGATTTTTGGAGAGCAGAATGAGCTCACCAGTGAATAATGAGGAGGAAAGGGGTCCCCTAGGCCTTATATACTAGGGAACTAGTCTAAAAACGGCTAAGGATTAGACTAGGCTAAGAAACTAGGCTAAAAACGGCTAAGGACCAGAACCCGAGGCTCTCTCTCTCTCTCTCTCTCTCTCTCTCTCTCTCTCTCTCTCTCTCTCTCTCTCTCTCTCTCTCTCTCTCTCTCTCTCTCAAGCGGTCATGCATTTATATTGTTGAAGGGGTACAGGCATGCAAGTGACGGTGTTGACTGGTAGGCTAGCCTAGGCAAGCAAACTAATGGGGGGTGGGTAAGCAAACCAGCAAGCGAACAACGTCCTGCACAAGACAGCCCAAACAACCAAACAAACCCAGCATAACCAACTCGTGCCACCGCAAAGTCACCTAATGTTCACCTCACACCCTCGCTACGGCCAGCCCTACTCCGCCCCTGCCGCCTTTGCTACACCCTCCCCTGTGTTTACACCCCTGCAAGGTCATCATCGAGCACCTGCCATAGGTCCCCTAGGCTCGGCTCCCAGGGGTCCATAGGTGCTTGGGGCAGCACTCCGGCCCCCTTGGACTAGGAGAGCGAGGCGGTGCTGCAGCTGGCCCTTGGGTTTTTCCTGCTCCGCCGAGATGAGGTCCCTCGCCTCCTGCGTGAGGCTGTCCCTGCAGTCCCCGATCCACCTCTGCAGCTCATTGGGGCTGTGGTCGGCTGCTGCGGGGGTGTCTAATGCCGCTGTCAAAGTGGCCCCTGCCTGCCCCTCTAGCTGACCGAGAAGTGTGTGTGCCTGCACAAAGCTTGCCAGAAAACTGTACCGGCCCTCTACTGCTGGGTTGGCGAGGCCTAGGCCACCTAGGCTTGGTGGGAGTGAGGCTTGGTCCCAGATACGTGCGTCTTCTGTTTCTCCCCTTGGGTGGCGCACCCTGCAAGCATCTAGAAGTGTGTACAGCAGCGCCCGACCCCACCCTGACCACTCCGCTTCGGGTAACAGGTATAGGGGTGTGGTGCGGGCTAGGTATGAAATGCGCCTGGAGATACACCGTGTTAGGAGTAATGCCGCTACCTGGGGGTCCACTTTTGCTAAGTGGGGCAGCGGGGACGACAGTGTCTCGAGCTGGGATCGTATAAAGGCTGCCGCTCCGTCAGTCGTGCCAATGAAGCTTCCTAGCACTCTCAGCCCCTCCGTGCGTAGCGGGACGCCCTCTGGCAGCTGCTGGGGGTCTGTTGCTGCTGCGCTCCACGCGGCGCACTTCCCTGGGTTGTGGGTAAGTCCTATGTCGCGTAGGCCAGCCGTGAAGTGGCGGAAAGCGTCGGAACAGTCAGCAGCGGGGCCTAAGAAGGTGATGTCGTCAGCGAATGCGAGGCATAGAACCGTAGGGAAGGCTGCTGCTGTCGTGGTGAGAATAGGGTGGATCCCTGCGGCGAACAGCAGCGGGCCGAGCGGATCTCCCTGTCGCACGCCTGTCTCGCTAGTTAGTGCCTCGCAACCGAACCCCGCGTCAAGGAACAACTGGGCCGGCTTGCTATATGATGCTTTGACGAGGGGAATAAGGCCTTGGAGGTCGGTGTTGCGAAGTGCACTGACTACTGCTGCGCGGCTAATCGAGTTAAAGGCGTTCGCTAAGTCGGCTTGCAGTATCAGCGTTCCTGGGTTTGCGTAAGTGAAGGCCCTCGCGGCGTGGATAATCGCTTCGCTACCGCCCTGGACGGATACGCAGTACTGTAACGGGAGGAAATGCGCGCGGCATTTTTTGGATAGGGCTGAGAGGGCTGACTTGGCGGCTAATCGTAGTATACACTCGCCTACTGCTATCGGTCTAGTTCCTCCGTCAGGCTTGGCCAGAGCTATGAGACGGCTGGCTGTCAGTAGCGAGCAGACTTCGTCAGGTAGTTTGCCTCCCAAAATAGTATTGACGAGGGCGTGGAGGTGTGTGGTAACCCCCGCGTTTGCGAGTGATGCGTCGCGCAGGTGTTCAAATGTCATACCCGACGGTCCTCCTCCCACCCCGTTCTCACAACGGCACAACAGTTTAATGAAGTCCCCTTTTTCGATCGACGCCGCTTGAACAATATCGGGGACGTTCCAATCGATGATGCCAGGTGGCGCGGGGGGGTGTTTTGCCTTGAGAGCGGCGAGGATGGGTGCAGATGGGTCAGCGACCGGCGTTGACTCAAGGGCGAGGATCGCCCTGCGAAGGCTTCCTTTTCGTGCGAGGCCTTCTGCCCTGGCACGTTTGCCGAGGGCATCTAGCGTGTGGCGAGGCGGGTGTGGTCCAGTGATTGCGGTAACAGCTGAATCGTAAAGTTGCTGCCATTCGCCTTTGTTAAATTGGCGAAGTCGGTTCTTGACCGCCGGCCAATCAGGATTCTCCGTTGACGGGAGGCGAAGGGTGAGGCGTGGGAGAAAGAGTAGCAGGCGCCAGCCTGCGACTGACGCAGGGTTACGCGCGAGGTGAAGGAGTGGTGTCAGGAGGGCTGTGGCGAATAGTGGGCGAATGTCAGCAGGGAGTTTGCGCGAGAGTGGGGGCTGACGACTGTCGCGAAGAGGGGTCAGGTCCCATAATTCCACCTCGCCGAACTGCACCAGGTCCCTGGCCAATTGTTCAGGCAAGAATTGGCGGGTCTCTGATGCGGTGGTCTCCGGTACCGTCCGGTTTAATTCGCCACCTGTTGCTGCTGGAATTGAAGCGGCTCGGCGTGGTGTTGGGTTTGCCCGACGTCTGCCTTCCCGTTCCTCCTCCTCTAACTCCCCCGATTCTTCTGAGGTGGATTCTTCCACCACCTCCGCTATAAACGTTGGATCTCCTGCCTCCTCCTCAGCTTCAGTGTTCTCCACTCTTCAAGTTAAGGCGCGGCGTGCTTCCCTCTGGAAGCCATTTTCTGTGTCAGATATATATGACTTAGTCTGTGTAGGCTATAGTGGGGTAGACACTAAGGGGTACAAGTTTCTAGGGTTTCCTATTTGTACACAACATTTCCTAGTTCATTCCATTCCTCATTTCTTCACATGGTATAGAGCTGGTTCCCTTGTGGGACGGTTTCTTCCTTGGGCCCACCATTCGAACTTTTTTTTCCTGCCCTAAACGCGCTTCGCGTCCTGCCCCAAAACTTCGCGACCCCCCCCGCCCCTTAGCGGTCCCCGTCGCGACTCCTTAGCGGCCCCTCGCGGCCCCTCTTAAGGCCCTTCGCGGCCCCCTCACGGCCCTTCGCGGCCCCTTCGCGGCCTTCGCGGCCCCTTTCGCGGCCCTTCGCGGCCCCCTCACGGCCCTTCGCGGCCCCTTCGCGGCCTTCGCGGCCCCCTTCGCGGCCCTTTGCGGCCCCCCTCTCGGCCCTTAGCGGCCCCTTTGCGGCCCTCCGCGGCCCCCTCTCGGCCCTTCGCGGCCTCTTCGCGGCACTTCGCGGCCATCCGCGGCCCCCCCTTCACGGCCCCTCCACGGCTCATCGCGGCCCCTCCGCGGATCTTCGCGACCCGCCACAGCCGCCCAGCCGCCCTGTCGCCGCCGCCTCAGCAGCTACTGCAGTCGCGCGTGCTGCCGCTGCCGCTTCCGCTGCTGCCGTGATCGCCGCCGCCGCTGCTGCCGTGGCGGCCGCCGCCGCTGCTGTCGTCACAAGCCGCCGCCGCTCCTGCTGTGACAGCTGCCGCGGCTACTGCTGAGACAGCCGCCGCCGCCGCTACCGTGACAGCCGCCCCAGCCGTCCCGGCCCTGCACTGCAGCCGAGTCGCGGCCCTGCCCTGCCGCCCTGTTGCGGCCCTGCTCCTACCGACGCACCTCGGCCCTGCCCCACCACTTGCGGGTTCTTACCCACCCGCCCCTGGTAAGCGCACAGCCGAGCCGCGCCCCTCGTGCTAGCCTGCTTCTGCTGCTGCTGCTGCTAGCCTGCTGCTGCTGCTGTCATGACTAGTCCCAACGTTCTTTCCTTTGATGCTGAGGGTCGAGCGGTAGACTTTGAA